AACATATATTATTATTAGTTGACTACAGAACATCTAGTAACAATAACACATATATTATTATTAGTTGACTACAGAACATCTAGTAACAATAACACATATATTATTATTAGTTGACTACAGAACACCTAGTAACAATAACACATATGTTATTATTATTGACTACAGAACATCTAGTAACAATAACACATATGTTATTATTAGTTGACTACAGTTGTCAAGTTATTAGCAGAATTAAATAGTCCTTTTCAGTAGATAACTGAGAGATTTTTGGAAGAGTACGATTTTATCGCTGCAGAGGTTGAGTACATTATATTAAAGCGTGATGTCCACAGCCAATATGAAGTCCAGATATAATTATATCAGAAGTAGATTTTTTAAACGTGTTTATTGTCCCATAAGTAGTATATTATGTATATCCGACAATAAACAAGTTTTAAGTTTTACTTCCTTTAATAATTATAAGTACAATTTGACATTGTTTGGCGTTACTTAGGTAATGTTATTTCCACCGAAAATTGATCGCTTTTGGAAAAGGTATCTAACGAACATTTCTGGCACAAAATGTTAATACATATAAATTATAAAGATATTTTCAGTTTGGAAGTTTAGAATTTCGATGATGGAGATATCCCTTGTACTGAATGGTATTGGAAACCAAAGAGATTTGGATCAGCCTGGGGCACCACGACCACCCAGAAAGAGATCTTCCACTAATTGTGCCTCATCCATGGTAAGCTAAGTAGGACATCTTGTAACAGGTGATATCCCACGAACATAACGGTTAGCGGAAAAAACCGTCCACTTGTAGCAGACAACAGTACATACAGTAACCAAGATGGATATTAGTCTAGAAGAGCGACACAAGTCGTGTTTATACAAGTAACTTCTACAACATATCTGCTCAACCGTCGTATACCTCAAGCAGCTGGAGAATAAAGTATGCATTCGTGCTATTTCAAAAGGAAACATATTGGTCTAGTTGTTAGATTTCTGTGCAATCGGGTTGTTGAAAAGTATCTATAAAAACTGTCGTCCTCCTAAATTAGATGAATTATGGGAATTATTATAGAAAATACTTTCACGATGAAAACTACGCTGCAAGTCTACTGTCAAAATGTACGGTCGTCAGATATAGCATGGCCGGGCATGGCGACGTGAACGTTTTAATATAATACACTCAACCTTTGTATAAGTTCAGACTAAGGGTGATCTTAGATAAGCTTGTATTAGCTGAAATTTTCCTGGTTGCAGCAATAATAGTTTGTACATATTTTGTCACCATTAAATTAACCAATAGTTCATATTTTAGCGTTTATATGGCAATTTCTCCTGACAGTTTACTATTGTGAATCAGCTGGAGCTATTCAGTTAGGTTCCTTGGATAGTTAGTATTGTTATATATTGTTATTAAATAACGTCTACATCAACTCATATTAAGCAAATATTCTGTAACATAGACTGGTCAAAGCTAAACTGATTTCACTGGACGAGTTAAAACTGAACTCTTCAGTTTGTCATGGGTGTCGCTGATCTGTTAATCAGACCACTGAATGACATCAATACAGATGTCCAGAAAGGAACAACATTCGTATTATAGAATAATTCACAAAGCAACCTTCAATAGTTGCCAATGATCTTTCTGCATTAAACCTGAGAATACAAAGAATATGGTAAGAATAATAACACAATCCCGCTAAATTATATTTGTTATCTCGTTTTAATGTAATAATAACAATACTGTACTACAATTTTTCTTATTCTCATGGTTTTACTGTGTGCGCAACAAATATTTTCAATTAAACTGAAAAAACCAACAAAAACATACAATATTTGTCCCTCTTAATTTTTCGTCTCCATCCCTAGAATTTCCATCCAGTTAGAGCCACTTCAAGCTGCATCAGAAATAATCCAACGAAACATGTTTTTCTGAGAGTTGTCATCTTTTTAGTTATAACATCTGTTATTTTTGTCGCCGGTCTCTTAAATACGGTAAGAATTATAGTTAATTTACACTATATTTTTGATTATTACAAATTATTGTAAACTTTTTTTCTACTTTTGTGTTATGATAATAAAAGAAAAAAATGTGGTCAGATAGTATTTGAGTTTTATAGTTCATCATGTATGATTTGTTGGTTAATATGATAATTGTTATAAGATAACATTGTTGGAAAAAATGTTTTATATACTTACACTAGTAAATAGCTTTGGTTATTGCTATGGTAACTGTTATTGCGACACAGATAAACCTTGTTATGAAATGGTATTGTAAGGTATATATATATATGCAGATAAATTCTATTGTTAGTTGTAAAACGTTTTTTTCCTTGTATGTGTATATTCATATGTGGTTTGGTGACACAAAACAACAACAAATGCAGGATACTCCAAGCACCCTAACGTGTAGACGAAACAGGAAGTTACTGTGTACCAGGATTTCATTTAGGTTTGTGTCATGTACGTAAGTAATAATCGGTGGGAGTCTTGAAAACTGATTCAGTTGTTAGGTTTTTCAGTAAGTATTGTGTGATTGTTTATTATAATATCTGTGATCTTCTTGCTGATCTGACGACATGTTAATATAAGAGGAATATGATTGGTGTTTTTTTTGTAGGGTTGAGTGTTTATTTCAGGGTATATGAAGTAGCTGTGATGGGTGAGAGAATCAGGGTAGTGTCTTTTAGAAAAGTTTTAATGTCTTTGGGTTTAGATTTATAATCATTATCATCACTACATAGTTTGTGTAGGTGTAGAAAATGTGACGAGGGTATTGACGTTTTGTTACTGTACGGGTGAGAAGATTCGAAAAGTAAGTATGTGTGTATGAATGTGTTTCTTTATAATGTATACTAGTGGTCAAGTGGTCGTCTGTATAAGTTAATGTCGAGGGTATTGACGTTTTGTTACTGTACGGGTGAGAAGATTCGAAGAGTAAGTATGTGTGTATGAATGTGTTTCTTTATAATGTATACTAGTGGTCAAGTGGTCGTCTGTATAAGTTAATGTCGAGAAAGAACAGCGTTACGTCCTATATTTCCCACGTAAATTCTAAAGAACAGTGAAAAGACGATACGTAGTGTATATTTTGTCATAGATGCAATCCCTAGCATGTCGTCATTGTAACGACGATACATCATG